CAATACAGAACGCAGACGCGCGCGCGCGACAGAGTTCTGTATTGTCCACATTAGCATAGTCGACATGCGATTGCAAAAAAATGAATTCAAAACTTCTGTGGCTCTCAAAGGAGGCAAGAGGACGCGTTCACCTTTCCAGTGTGGACAATACAGAACTCAGACGCGCGCGCGCGCGACAGAGTTCTGTATTGTCCACAATAGCAAAATCGGCATGTGATCCCAAAAACTGAATTCAAAATTCCAGTGGCTCTTTAAGGGGGCCGACGGACGCGTCGATTTTTCTAGTGTAGACAACAAAGCAGAACTCAGACGGGCGCGCGCGCGACAGATTTCTGTATTGTCCACAATAGCAAAGTCGACATGTGACTCCAAAACCTGAACTTAAAATTTCTGTGGCCCTTGAAGGACGCCGACGGACGCGTCGTGTTTTATGTTGTGGGCAGTACGGAACTCAGACGCGCGCGCGCGCGACAGAGTTCTGTATTGTCCACAATAGAAAAATCTACATGTAATTCCAAAAACGGAATTCAAAATTTCCGTGGTCATTTAAGGACGCCGACGGACGCGTCGACTTTTCTATTGTGGATTCATGTGGCTCTTTGAGGAGGCCGACGGACGCGTCCACATAGCTAGTGTGGACAATGCAGACCTCAGACGCGCGCGCGCGCGCGCGACAGAGTTCTGTATTGTCCACGTTCGCATAGTCGACATGTGATTGCAAAAACTGAATTCCAAATGTCTGTGGCTCTTTAAGGAGGCCGACGGACGCGTCGACTTTTCTAGTGTGGACAATAAAGAACTCAAACGCGCGCGCGCGCGACAGAGTTCTGCATTGTCCACATTAGCAACGTTGACATGCAATTCCAAAAACTGAATTTGAAATTTCTGTGGCTCTTTAAGGAGGCCGACGGACGCGTCGTGTTTTCTGTTGTGGACAATACAGAACTCAAACGCGCGCGCGGCAGAGTTCTGTATAGTCCACATTAGCAAAATCGATATGTGATTCCAAAAACTGAGTTCAAAGTCCGGCGGCTCTTTGAAGAGGCCGACTGACGCGTCCAGATTTCTAGTGTGGACAATGCAGGACTCAGACACGCGCGCGCGACAAAATTCTGTATTGTCCACAATAGAAAAGTCTACATGTGATTTCAAAAACTGAATTCCAAATTCCGGTGGCTATTTAAGGAGTCCGACGGACGCGTCGACTGTTCCAGTGTGGACAATGCAGAACTCAGACGCGTGCGCGCGCGACAGAGTTCTGTATTGTCCACATTCGCATAGTCGACATGTAACTCCAAAAACTTAATTCAAAATGTATTGTGGCTCTTTATGGAGGCCGACGGACGCGCCCACATTTCTAGTGAGGACACTACAGAATTCAGACGCGCGCGCGCGCGACAGAGTTCTGTAGTGTCCACAATATAAAAGCCGACATGTGATTCCAAAAACTGAATTCAAAAATTCTGTGGCTCTTTGAGGAGGCAGGCGGACGCGTCGACTTTTCCAGTGTGGACAATACAGAACTCAGATGCGTGCGACAGAGTTCTGTATTGTCCACATTAGCAACGTTGACATGTAATTCCAAAAAACTGAATTCAAAAATTCTGCGGCTCTTTAAGGAGGCCGACGGACGCGTCGACTTTTCTGTTGTGGACAATACAGAACTCAGACGCGCGCGCGAGACAGAGTTCTGTATTGTCCACAATAGACCAGGCGACAAGAATCTCCAAAAACTGAATTCAAAGTGTCTTGTGGCTCTTGAAGGAGGCCGACGGACGCGTCCACATTTCTACTGTGAACAATACAGAACTCAGACGCGCGCGCGCGACAGAGTCCTGTGTTGCCCAGAATATCAAAGTCGGCATGTAATTCCAAAAACAGAATTCAAAATTTCTGTGGCTCTTTAAAAAGGCCGGCGGGCGCGTCGACATTTCTAGTGTGTATAACTCAGACGCGCGCGCGCGCGACAGAGTTCTGTATTGTCCAATATAGCAAAGTCGACATGAAATTCCAAAAACAGAATTCAAAATTTCGGTGGCTCTTTAAAAAGGCCGGCGGGCGCGTCGACATTTCTAGTGTGTATAACTCAGACGCGCGCGCGCGACAGAGTTCTGTATTGTCCAATATAGCAAAGTCGACATGAAATTCCAAAAACAGAAATCAAAAATTCTGTGGATCTTTAAGGAGGCCATCGGACGCGTCCACTTTTCTATTGTGGACAATACAGAACTCAGACGCGCGCGCGCGCGACCGAGTCCTGTGCTGCCCACAAAAGACTAGGTGACATGTATCTCCAAAAAACTGAAGTCAAAAATTCTGTGGATCTTTAAGGAGGCCGACGGACGCGTCCACTTTTCTATTGTGGACATCACAGAACTCACACGCGCGCGCGCGACAGAGTTCTTGTATTGTCCCCATTAGCATGGTCGACATGTAATCCCAAAAACTGAATTCAAACTTTCTGTGGCTCTGTAAGGAAGCCGACGGACGCGTCGACTTGTCTATTGTCCACTCAGACGCGCGCGCGAGAGTTCTGTACTGTCCACAATAGACTAGGTGACATGTAATTCCAAGAACAGAATTCAAAATTCCTGTGAATCTTCAAGGAGGCGGACGGACGCGTCGACTTTTCAATGCAGAACTCAGACGCGCGCGCGCGACAGAGTTCTGTATTGTCCACATTAATTAGCATAGTCGACATGTAATTCAAAAAAAAATCTGTGGCTCTCTCAGGAGGCCGACGGACGCGACGATTTTTCCAGCGTGGGCAATGCAGAACTCAGACGCGCGCGCGCGCGACAGAGTTCTGTATTGTCCACAATGAAAAGTCGACACGTATTTCCAAACACTGAATTCAAAATGCCTGTGGTGTTTTAAGGAGGCCGACGGACGCGCCCACTTTTCTAGTGTGGGCAATGCAAAAGACAGACGCGCGCGCCGACAGAGTTCTGCATTGTCCACTATAGAACAGTCGACATGTAATTCCACAAACTGAATTCAAACATTCTATGTACAGGGCATCTGTCTGCCCCCCCCGCCCCCGTCGCACCGCGCGGAGAGTTTCGGAAACAAGCGAGAGGTCCATCTGTCGCGGCCCCGCCGGTCGCTGTCGCACCGTTAGCCAACCTGCGTGATTTGCGCTGCGCATGTGTCTGGCCCCCCCCGTCGCCGTCGCACCAAAAACATGGCGTGCCACGCGTGCTTGAAGCGAGCTGTCCACGGCGAGCATATCGCACATCGCACAGCTCATTTGACTGATTAAAAAGTGGCCCGTGCGACGACAGATCGTTTTTGCGCATCTATCCACGACGGGCCTGTTGCCGCCGCACTTGGGAGATCCCGTCGGGGGGAGGCCCTTCAGCAGTCGTGAGCACGCGCCACGCGCGCGCGCATGCGCGTCGTTGGAGGTGCCATCCGCTGATTAGAAACGGCTCCAAGAGAGCGCCCATGAAGGAATCCTCCAGGATGGGCGGTCCGAGGGATCCTCTGCAAACCAACAGAACCCGTCTGGGCCCCTGGGATTCCTGGGGGGCCCCAGGCAACGCACAGGGGCATGCTTCAAATTTGGGGGCACGGCCGCAATTTGAAAATAGTCTTCTTCGGACGCCTGCGGCGGAGCCTGGAAGGATGGAGGGTCGGAAACTAATTTGAACGAGATTTCCAATAATATCTGCGAAACACATTCGAACGAACCGGGTCAACTTACGGGTGCGCCCCGTCATTTCCAGCCCTCGCCCTCCTCGTCCTCCTCGTCCTCGTCCTCGTCGTCGTCCTCCCCCCCCCCCAGGATGACCGAAATCTAATTAAAATCGGCCCCCGGGCCCTTCCCAGGGCCCCCCCGAAGCAGTTTTTCACCCTGGATCGTTTTTCGACGATCCCGGGGCCCGAAAGCGGCGCCCATAGGCGTAAAACGACAAAAAATTCTTCAAACCTCGATCCTCGAGGTTCGAACCTCCCCTCCCGTTCCCAGCGCCGAAGACGCTTCAACTCCTACGAAGACGCCTGCGCGGAAGCGGCGCGTGGGCTGAGCTCGGGAGGGCCGCGCTCGCGCCCGCCGCCTGAAACCCGTGGAGTCGGGCTGCCGCCGCTGTGGTGGACGAGATGGCCGCGTCTCCGATGACGCCAGCTATTTTCGTCGACCCCTGAGGTTCGAAGTCCGAGGCGGGCTTCCGACGTCGTAGCCTGTTAGCCTGTGGAGGCCATCTTCGGGGCCCAGGACCGTCAGAAATCGATCCGGAATGACAAACAGTGTCCCGGGGGTGCCGGAGTCATGCCGAACGGCCACCAGAGTCCCCGAGACCGAATGATGGCCCGATAACCGACTGGGTCGGGTCGGCGTTCACGTCCAGGTTCGAGCAAACCTCGAAGACCGAGATCCTCTGGCCCCTGGTGGCTCTCCTCGTCGCCACGGCCGGACGCGGCGCGGAAAACTGGCGCGCTCGGGCCCCGGGAGGGCTCCGGGGGCCCATTTCAATCGGGTTTTGGCCGACGGGGGCGGACGACGACGACGACGACGACGAAGACGACGGCGACGACGACGACGACGACAACGGGGCAGCAGTCAGCGCAACTTCCCGGCAACATGCGCGTAGGGGCACTCGCGTTTGGCTATTTTTTGGTGGGGGAAGATGGGAGCGGACAGCGCGATGGAACCCCCAGCTCGCTCACCCTACCACTCGATGAAAGCACGTGGTACACGCGCAGGTGCAAACATTTAGTGAGCAGCCCTCGGGGCCAGCATTCGGTCAACGGCCCTTGCGTTATGCACGTCAACCCTACGCGGGGGAAGGAGGAGAGGAAGGGGGGGGGAGGAGGAGGAGGAAGAGGACGACGAGGGACTTGATGCGCAAATGGCGCCCTCGAGCGACAACTGTCGGTCTCGCACGGAATTGTGACAAACATTGGATGGAACTTCGTCTTGCCGAAACAGGTTAAGCAGGGCAGAGAAAGGGAGGGAGGGGGGAACCCGTGGCACTCAGAACGGGGCTCACAGGCGCGGC